CAGACGTGTTCAATGAAGCTTACCGCTATACAACAATAAATCTCTCTAACAATGATCTTCTGTAGATAGGAAATAGTAAATCCGACGAAACTACGTTATATCGTGTTCTGTTGCAGGAAAAAAATGTGGAGCTCGGTTACCGCGGCTGGTACTGAAAACGGGCCAGCACCACCTTCGAGAAGCAAGCATAGTGCCACCTTACTTGCTGGTCACGTATACCTTCTCGGTGGTCGAAATGGAAATCTACCTCTCAAAGATCTCTGGCGATACAGTCTTGGTGAGTCGTGTTACTTTACATTTATATTATGATTAACTTGCATTACACGGAGAAAATTTTATATCAAAAATTACTATGCATGGTATTAACCGCGGACCGAAAATTTTTACCATGTTTTACATGTGAAAAACATAGTAAAAATTTTTATAATTCCTTCATAGTCCGCGGCTACTATCGTACACAGTAATTTTCGATGTAAAATTTTCTCCATGTACATATGAATGCGTTAATTATTGAACCATTGGATGGCCGAGTATTGTTGATTTTTCGGTTAAAAAAAGGAAATCTCGTATTTATCAAGAGAGAGCGATATAGTTGTACTGCTCGTATTTCGAACACGACTCACGACTCACGATATAACATCGTTTTTGACCAGCGCACTCCATCGCATCCATGCCACCCTACGAAACGAGGGTGCGCGACAGAATTTGAACGGGGTTCAGCCTGATCAATAATGCACCATTATTAAAGCCTACCGTACATCAACTAAATCCACGGGCGATACTCTACAATTACGTGGTGTTTCCACGGAGATCAGATATATGTGAATTAATTGCGCCCGCTGGCCATAATCGGTGGCTCACGTACGTGACAGGGCGAGATTTTCCTCCGACTGAATGCTCCTTGCTTTCACTTATATTTGTCCTAATGCATGAAGAGTTAGCGTCTCTTCTAAACAATTAATCATTCATCATAAGCCTTTCTGTCATGTATTTTGGTTAAAACGACGACTGGTTTATTTGTAAAGCTTAACGACTTGAAAGATTAACGACTTAAAACGGGTAAAAGAATGGTGATTTATAAAGTGAAGTCAACGTAACATGAATTCGCGTCGCTCGTACGTACATCAGCAGGTTCTCTTAATCACAGAGTATTGTTCGGCTGTGCGGGTGAATACTGAACAACGTCGAAATAGTTGGCACGTAACGTTTTGTTTCCCGAAGTGAACAATGCTCCCAACTGTCTCGCTACTCCAATTTCAAAAGTCTAACTTTGTCGATTTATCTCGCTTGATCGCTTGATCTTGCAAAAATATTGTGATAACTTGGAGAACCACGAGAGCACTCCAACGAAACTTGGTTTTTGTTACACCCTCTTCTATCATCGGTATACTCGAGGGGATATAACCGGGGAACGCGAATCCTAGAAGGGGACAGGCGTGAAAAAATTTTATTGACAGAAAGGAAGAAAATTATCAACGAAGGAGGAGAAAAGTAAAAATAAATATAGTGATCGTGCTTTTTTACAAACGAAAAATAAAATTCTTTTTATACAACATTCTTGCACAAAGCATCTTTAATATTCTCGCTTATGTCATGAAGATACTTATTCAGACGGAACTCTAATGGCTAAATTGTTGTACGAGGTGCACTTGCGTATCGGACATGCACTTTCGCAGGGTATACTTTCAAACAAAGAGAAATATTGCTCTACTGTGCCAAAACTATGTAGATATGACACGTGTACTACGTAATCAATATCGAACATCTCTAGTATCACAGTGAAGACACTTCAGGCGACGTGTTTCTTTACATAAGTCTTCATAAGCTTTGTACTTGAACACGATTCAGAAGCAAGAAGTTGAAAGTTTCATGGGTACCGTCAAATTAGACGATAGCATCGATGTCGTCATATATATATATATATATTTCGTCCTTTTAATTATTTAGAAATGTATTATCATTCCACTGGAAACAGTTCTGGGCGAATGCAGGGGATGAGATATGGAAGGTGAAGTACAGCGGTCGAGAGATAAAAAGTACGCGCGATATGAAAAGTGTGAAATTACAGAAAAGGGCGTGGTTGCGGATGAAAGAAGCTAAAGTAATCACAAAAATAAATTTTTGGAAAGTAATTTAGTATATGTGACAAAATTTCTATAATTTAACAGACGCTCGAATAAAGTTACATCGATGGGAAGCACAATGTCATCTCGATACACAAACAGAGAAAGAAATGATAATTGACGCATACAGCAATACTTTTAGCAATCCATTTCGATACATCAGAAGAATATTTACTTTCATTGAATATAATGCAAATTTATGCAATTTATTTTCTCGACCGATCTTTTTTGCTCTTCTATTTTCATCTTTGCCGAGGGAGCACGCTCTGGCGTCCTTTTCGCAATGGTATGACCACCTAGACGTCTCTTGTCTCTTGAGGCTGGGAAGCAGTAAAGTGGAGGAGATTTTTAATATTCTCTTCGTAAACCGTAGCTATTGCGATCGAATAGCAATGAGTCGTAGATTTTCTTCCTTGATTTTTGCAAGAAATATAGCCGAGTTATTAACTGTAGAATTTCGCGTGCAAAAAATGACTATTTCACGAAGTCTTTTATTACAGTCTAGGTTGTACAATAATAAAAAGTATCGCACCGGTTTTATTACGCCAGATTGCATTCTTTTACTGAAACATGAAATATGTGTCGATGCAGCAAAAATCGGTTATTAAAATGCAACGAGTGCATCATAAAAATGCATGTCGCGTGACATTATGTTCCATTCTCGCGTTTGCAACAATTACATTGATAACACTTGCGTGCTCTTTTTGCATAATAACTGGATACAGCTCAACATAACAATGTCAGATTGTGTAACAAGCTTTTTTCTTTTTTACAGCGGAGAGCAAGTGGGAGGAATTGCATCCGGGAGGTGAAAGACCGCCGGCTTTGCAGGAGCACAGCGCGGTGGCTTATAAAGATTGCCTCTACGTTTTCGGAGGTGAACTGGGTTTCTCCGCCGGAACGGAAACGCCGCTTTGGGTTTATAATGTCAAGGTAATATGCTCGTCAAGGTAAAGAAAATGCCTCGCACAAAATGTGAATGGAAAACGCAATGAAATTGATTCAGGTGAATAATGCCATTTACGATAGGATATCTCTACGGTCGTAAACATTGACACGGTCCCGCACTTTCGATAACAATCGCGATAACGAGCGTCGTTAAAAAAATTCCATAATTCTACCCGTATAAGGGGGAGGAGAGAAAAGGGGAGGATAAAGTATCGTCGAAAAGGAAAGAGGACGGAAGAATCGCACTCTCGAGAAATATCGCTTAATCGATAGCGACGTCATCGGCTATACTTTTACTCAGTAGCGTGTCGCCTCCCTCGTGTAACGATACAGAAGAATAGTTTCGGCGACGACCGAACGCGCTACCGAGGGTAATCGAAGTTCGACCGGCCAATAGCCGTTCGCAGTACGCGTAAAAATTCCCCGTGTCGCCGTTGGTATCCTGCTGTTTTTCGCACGGTCTCAAACGCTCCTTGGGGAGCATGATAAGCGCGACGTGAAACGAGCAGTGACACAAGGTGGTTGGCCTCTTCATGGTATAAGGAGGACGTCGTCTCGCGTGCGGGAAATCAATCTTTCGAAATAATAGAAGCTCGGAAATGTGGCTCGTAATGATTTAGTGAGAATTTCGATCAAACGAGAATACAAATGTTTATCCTAATAATTTGCTCTATTATATAAGAAATTTTATTACCGGATGTGATAATAATATATTTTATACTAACTTTAATTTATTTCAATAAGAAATTTTATTGTTAAAAAAATATAATATGCAAATAATAAAAATCCATATCAGTTGTATCGCCAAATAATCCAATTATTTTAATTTTATTGGATGGTATTAGAGAGAATAATATTTTTCAGGTAAATATTTATGAATTTTTGCATTTTAATATTATTTATTCAAAGTGTTATTGGGATATGATATTGTTAATTGGGATATGATATATCCTGCATTTTCAAATTCGTATATACCTCAAATTTAAAGGAAAGGCAGCGATGTGCGATATTATCAATCAACCTTAGTAGATGTTCGTTATTGCCCTTCGTCTGATTTACCAAATCAAGAGGGTGCCAAGCCCTCCTTCCGATCAGTGAAGCGGCTGTGGCGGCTGCCCAGAGGCTGTTCGTCACCTTATCTAATCTAATCATATAAGTCGTTCTTAACTACATCTTTGCAATGAATGCAGTGCGAATTTCAGACGAAACACATTACTTTCGCAGAAATGTGGAGGGTAAAATTTTATCAGTTTTCTAATTTAGATGAGCACATTTAAAAATTTATTTATATTTATTTATATGATAATCATTTTACTTTTTTCTCAAATTTTAAAACGATTAAGTTATCAAAAGTTATTTTATGATTTTATTATATTATGTTGAAGCGTACCTTGTCTACAAACTGGATTTTTTGTTTAAACTTCAATACTATGCATTGAGTCTAATTGTTAAAAAACGTCTACGTAACACTTTATTTTTACGAAATAATAAAAGTATATCGACATCAGTGACAAATGTTTCTTTCCAGTGGAATACCAGTGGCAAGGTACTGGCATTATTTCCAGTTCTAGAGAGACTGGATTGCAATCGATCGGTAAAATATATAGTCACAGTATTGGATCTTAGATTAATCTCTCAGATTATATAATGTAATTGATGATATCTGAGGTAATTAGATGACATTTGAAGCAAACTAATACGTATCTAATATAATATGTAGAATAAATTGATCTAGTTTAAGTTACCTTCAGTAAATGTGTTAAATTTAACGCAATTTAGAATTATCTTGGTAATTGTTTTTAATAAATAAATTTCAGAATAATCTTATTTTTCTTTTTTAAGCAAGTAGAATACTACAAATTTTAAAAAGTAAATTATTAATTAATAAACACTAATAAACATTATTGTTTATGTTATAAAATTAATTTTGAGAAGGAGCTACGTATTTGGAAAAAAAAATTTTATGATGACATTTATTTGCCTATCTTGTGATAGTGTTAACATTTGCGGGCACATTTACTAATTTCGTACAATAATCAAAAACGACATATCTTTCATGGAACTTTCAAGTGCAATTTAAGGGTTTTTGACAGCAGCTGGTGTTAACAGGCTTTCTCTCCAATTCGTACCCTCGAAACGAGACAGTGTTTCATTCTCTCGAGGGTGGTGCCTCGAGCTCACGTGCGAGGCATTAAGAATTAATAAGTTTGCATGAAGTGCACGATGTGAAATATCACGTGTCATCGATTCAGCGTCTTGTCAGTTGCTTTTTTACTTAAAGATAAAAAAATAAAAAATAAAAGACGAATTCTTTTACTCATCAAAATTTTAAATTTATAAAAAGTTAGTACTTTTTTATTTATTATATATTGCACGTCAACGATCCAACATCGATTATTCTTTCATCTAAAGATGAAAAAGTTAAAACGGGCTTTTTTACTAACAATAAATTTCCTTGCTAAATTTAGAAAATTCTTATTTTTATTTATTATCCTATAAATAACCGAATGAAATCGTCTAATCACATTCGTGTAAATGTATATTTGTCACAAATTTACAAATTTGCGCTGAATTGCGTTGTATGGCTTGAATAACTCTGTATCTACGTATGAATGCGTCGGTCATAATGACTTTCCTTCGTCAGCAGCGGGTTATCTCTTTCACTCGATAGGTTTCATCTATCCGCTGTTCTAACAATTTCTTCCAACGTGATAATTTTTATGTCTGCGAAAATACTCTTTTGTTGTTTTCTTTCTGTTTTTTTCCTGGATAAACCACGTTATTGGATCAAATGTTCTATCTTTTTAAATACTTTTTGTCTGATATCGTAATGCAGATTTTAAAAATTTAACAAATTTGCATTTGTAGTCAAAGAGAAAATTTCGTGCATGAAACCAAACCACTTTATCAAATGGAAAAACGCAGTCAACTCTTTTTCATATGTTTGGAGATTTTTTCGGCTAGGTTACCATGGTTACTCTTGGTCCATTTGTTTTTAGCCGTTGGACCGTATATCCCCTCCGTTGTTTCTGTCTGTTCGCCGTGTATTATTGAAATCCGCGTTACGAATGCGTCAGGCAAACCTGATTGGTTTAGCTGGAGGGGTTGCTCGGCACGCTCTCTCCCTCTTTCTCTCTCTCTCTCTTTCTCTCGATTTGCTTTACTCCTTTGTCTTTGTTGCTTTCCCCTTGTACTTTGTTAAAACGCTCCCTCGCTTAAACGTACAGAATGTAAAAGAAGGCACGTACTGTAGCACATCTTCCATCTTTTTTACACTTGTAGTTTACGAAAAACTCAAAGATCTGCAACAAAGACCATCCTATTAACGAGATTAAATTTGGGTTAATTTTTCTCACAGGTTACATCGTGGTTCTTTTATCAATTTGTCTTGTCAAAAATTTGCATTGCAAAATATTGAGAAATTTCATATTCTTTTATGTGACGAGACGTATTCACGAGTACGTCCAAATATCCCGCGGCCAGTATATTAATAGCTCCCTCGCAGCAGAATGAATGTCGGTACTCCTTTTGATGTGTAATGGCACGACTCATCTCAATCGAGGTAATGTTTATCGCAGAGCGTTGGTTTCTACGTTCCTATAATATGAGTGTGCGCAAACGCGTGAAAAATAATTGCAAAAATGATGACTAAGAATGTCAAAAGTAATCACAGTTAACATGTTTACAGCTGATAATTTGAAGCAATCTGCTTACTTTCATTTGAAATTAATAATGGAAACTTGCATCTCATTCTTATCACAGCCGTGGCATCGCACGGGGAAAGATCTTTTCAAGTGTATTCACCAGATTATTACACAGTCCATTTGCGAATGTTCATCTCCGTGTTACAAATCTGTGAACCGTGATGTTTCGAAAGAAAAAACGACTAATGCGATTTTAAAGCGCGGATCGATATGCAGGCTCGAATTTTCTGCTACACTGAGCGATAAATCTCTCCCGGGCACAACGTATTGATTTCATCGATATGTATAAATATAAGAGACGCGAAGAATATGTTTTTTTCCTATGACACACTTTCCATGAAAATTGTTCCAAGGTAACAGTACGGTAAAAATAAATCAGCTTATATTACCTACCTATCTGTACAACGATACTTTATAATATTCATTTTTATGAATATTATACGGCAACATTAATGTGCGCGTATGTGTGATGTACAAAATTCTTCTCATACACAGTATCGCACGCGATAATGAGCAACATAAAATTGTCTCTCAACTTAATAAAATATTTCTATCATGTATAACATTGTAATAAAGATTCGATTAATTTTGTGAACTTTGTTCCGTATTTATTCCCAGGCATATATGAACTTTGCTTATTTCGTTTCATATTCATCTTCCGACATACATATCGTCGTATATAAGCATAATATATCTATGATATAATTTATTCTTGCCAATAGTTTCGTATGTAGCGTGCATTCCTTCGCGCGTATGCTTATAAAGCCGCATGCTTTTCGTAGATAGATGAAAGCGGAGTTATGAATATGTTACCAAGCATTTTTCAGCTAAAATATTCACTAGCGCTGTGGCTTTCGCCTATAGCAACTATGCATTCTTTACGTTTATTGCATTCTTTACATCAGAGATCCTTTCGATTTATATAAATCGCACGATGCGAACTATTAATGCGATTTAATATTTTTTTCATATAAATTTATATAGTTTATGACAAAATATCTCGTTTTGTTTTTGTTAATATAGATATCAAGTTGCATATTAATTTAACGAAATATGCGAGATATTAAAGGGACGCTTACTAGCTAGTAGCACGTACTCGAATAAAATTTTATTTTCCGAAATTCCGCTGTTATAGCCGGCGAGAGAATAGTTTCACGTTGCTATTCGGTAGCAGCAGCGACGATTATCGCAGTTACAGGAGCTAAAGCCGAAGCTATTCAGACGGCAGAATTGGAGGGCCGCGAAATTAGAGGTCTTTATCCCTTTTGTTGCAGGCTACCTTTATTATACGTGGCATTCACAAGTACTCGCAAACATATAGAAATGTCGAGAAGACGAAGTATCATGTTCGTTTATATAATATCTGTAATTATGCGGAAAATATTTCATTCAAATGAAAAATAATTTAAGTTGCGAAAAGCTTATAATAACTATAATTTCTAGACAAATATCTGGAGAAAGGTGAGAGCTCAACGGGGTTGTGCAGTTCCTAGAGGCCGACGAGGTCACACCGCTTTGGTACATCGCGGACAAATGCTCATATACGGCGGTTATCAAGATCTACGTGGAAGCTCTTCCGAATTATGGGCTTTTCATTTCGGTAGTGTGTTTCTCAACGTAAATCGCTCATTTAATATTCATATGTACAGCGTTTCTAGCTTTACTTTAACGTTACAGAGACTGAATCGTGGCACTTGCTCTCATCGAGCGAAAACGGA